GTCACAGATGTCACTCACGTTGCTGATCTGATCCTGAGTCTTCCTGATCCTCTGCAGCTCAGGGGTGTCGGCCACCACGCTGAAACCTTTGCCCTTGTTCTTCTCAAACTCCTCCTTGTAGCGGATCTGGGGGCACAGCACGGAACATGGATTTAATCTCGGTTTTAACTAAACCTGGATTTAATCACTGTTTTAACTAAAAATTGGATTTGAACTCAGGGAAGGGGGGACAGTGCAGAGCTGGGCTCAGCAGCAGCCCCTGACTGTGCCCCAGGGGCAGCAGCTCCTGCCTCTCCAGGAGCACCCCCAGAACATCCCTGAGCATTCCTGAATATCCCAGAACATCCCTGAGCATTCCTGAACATCCTGGAACATCCCTGAGCATCCCAGAATATCCCAGAACATCCCTGCACATCCATGGACATCCCTGCACATCCCTGGACATCCCTGCACATCCCTGAGCATTCCTGAGCACCCCAGAGCCTCCCCAGCCATGGCAGAAGGAGTTTCCAGCACCCAAAGCACCCCCTGAGCACCCCGACCCCGTTCCCTCCTCTCCTCTTTGGGGTTCGGTTTCAGTTCCCCGTGGGCACCAGGCAGGGATTCAGGGACCTGCAGCCCTCCAAGGGTGTCCCCAGCCACCCCCGGCAGGGTGACACAAACCCAGGGACACTGGGACAGGCTCAGGGGGGTGCCGTGGGTGACTCTGGAGCTGCTCCAGCCCCAGTTTGCCCAGTTTGGCTCTGCTGTGCCCAGTTTGGCCCCAGTTTGGCCCCAGTTTGCCCTCCACCCACGGTGCTTTCCATGAAGGAGTGGGGGATGCTGTCCCCATGCTGCTCAGGACAGGGGACAGGGACAGGCCACCCCAGAGCTGCTGAGCTGCCAGAATTCCAGGCTGGAAATACAAGGAATCACTGAGCAGGAAGCCAATCCCAGGGGTGGGCAGATCCTCTGATAAATCCCATCTTTCCACCCTCCTCAATCCCACCCTGCTCCATCTTCTTTGGGTTTTTTTTTTTTTTCCCACCCCGCTGATGGTTCAGGACACAGGAATTCAGCCCTAAAAACCACCTGGCAGCACCGCCAGGACGATGAGAAATAATTTAATAAATTTAAAATTCCCACCATTCCTTTTCCCGAGCTCCCTCCATGCCGTGACATCCAAAGGGAGCCAGGAAAACCCTTCACACGTCACAGCACATCCAGTGTCACCAGCACCGAGGTGACAACTCCCAGAGGAGCTGGCACAGCAGGGACAGCAGTGGCAGCTGCCAACCCCCCCACACAGGAAGGGCTGTGCCCAAATTCCACCCCGGGAAAAGGAGCCCCAGGGTGGCAACCTGCAATTTCCCTGCCACACGTGGGCTGGGAAAAGCAGCCTGCGGGCACCAGGGTGGCACTTTGGGGACACTTTTGGCCTCACACGACATCATTTGTGCAGCAGCTTGCCGTGAGTGGGAGGGGAGATGGGACACAAATAGAGGGGACACAAATAGAGGGGACACAGAGTGACACGGGGCCACTGCTGGCCCTGCCACCCTGTCCCTGCAGGTGCCCAGTGCCCCACCCCTGGCACACATTTTTGGGAATTTTTAGGGCTGAAAGAGCCCCTCTTGGTTTTTTTCCCCTCAGCAGGAAAGGTGAGTGTGGGGTTTATCCATGGGGAATTTGAGGGATATTCAGAGAATCATGGAATTGTCAGGGCTGGAAGGGCCCCTCTGGAGCTCCCCTTGCCCAGAATTAATTCAGGAATTAATTCAGGAATCTCACACAGAAAATTCCCAAAACCCCCAGAGATAAAAACACAACAGGAAAGGTCAGGGTGGTTTTTTTTTCCCATGGGAATTCGAGGGATATCCACAGAATGATGGAATTGTCAGGGCTGGAATGAGATCTGGAAATCCTCCTGCCCAGAATTAATTCAGGAATTTCCAAAAGTCAAACGTGCAGAGAACTCCCCAAAATTAATTCAAGAATCTCACACAGAAAACTCCCAAAACATGGAACCCTCAGAGACAAAAATGAAAGGTCAGGGTGGGTTTTTCCCATGGGAATTTGGGAATCATGGAATTGTCAGGGCTGGAATGAGATCTGGAATTCCCCCTGCCCAGAATTAATTCAGGAATTTCCAAAAGTCAAACGT